CCTCAAAAAAACAAAACAAACCCCTCATATTGCTCTTGTAGATGACTGGAGTTGGATTCCCAGCACTTGTACCTGCTGACTCACAACCATCTATAACACCAACTCCAGAGCATCCAACACCATTTCTGACCTCTTCAGGAACCACACATAAAATAAACATGGCATACACATTTGCGCGCGCGCACACACACACACACACACACACACACACACTATTGGGGGGGGGCGCAAAAGACTTGAATAAAGCTCTTGGGGGATCAATCTCTGTGAGCACCTGCTCTAGTATGCATATTCCTATGCTAACATATACACAATTAAATAAAATTACAAACAAACAAACGAGCCAAACCAAACAAAAGAAATTCAGCTTCACAAAGATGTCATTCAAAGGGATCCAGCGCCATCTAATGTTGAAACGGATCCACGTGCACTCAGTAGTTCAGAGCACCTATGCTTCTCTCCAGAGAGCAGAACAATTCCCTATGCCCCTGCGACTCTGCTTCGGTGCTTCAAATATGACAGCAGTTTGGGAACACTGGATTTACCCATTAGCATAGGGTTGTTCTATTATAAAAACAGGAACTAAGTTATTTAAAAAAGTGTTCCTATTAGTAAATATTTAGGTGGCTGACAACTGTCATTTTCAAATGTAAAAATAATACTCTCAAATGTGTATCTGTATAACTACTCACTTATTTGCCCAAATAATTTTTAATTAATGCTAGTCTGTACCACCAGGGACTACTAGAAATGCTGAGTAGCATCCTATAGTGAACAAGTAAAAAAAAAAAAAAAAAAAAAAAAAGCCTCCAAGACTGACAGGCAATAAAGTAAAATAGAGAGTAAGGCTTACAGAATGAAGGATGCTATTTAAATGGTCAGGGTAGACATCTAAACACAGAACACACTGCCATGAAGAACAGGCATATAAGAGGTCTGGACAATGTTATTCCAAGCAGCAGAGACAATGATCAAACAGCCACTGAAGCAATAATAAATTTGTAGTGTTAAAAGATAAGCAGGTCAGAGTGGCAAAGGGGACTAGAGAGATGGCAGAGGGGTTAAGAGTACTTGTTGCTCTTACAGAAGACCCAGGTTTGATTCCCAGCACCCATATGGTAGCTCCAGTTCCAGGGGATTCAATGCCCTCTTCTGACTCTCCCAGGCAGCAGGTATGGTGTATGGTGTACATACATGAATGCTGGCACAACATTTCTACACATTAAACAAATAAATAAATCTAAAAATAATTTTTAAATTGTCTCTAATTTACCAGGAGAATGGTAATAAGATGGAGAGGCAGCAAGCAGGGGCAGGATCTAAATAAAGGTCAGGATAAGATTCTGGATCCTCCTGAAAGGATTCCATGAAGAGAAGGGACATGATAAAAAGACCTCTCCAACTTGTTCTGCAACTACAGAAGACTGAGGTAGGGCTACTACAGATCAGTGGTCAGTGGGTAGGTACCACAATAAAGGTAAGAGTAAAGCCTGGATTCCGGCTTATATTTTGAAGGCAGAACAGATTAGCAGATGGACTATGTGGAGAGTGTAAGAAAGAGAATGATAGTAGGCAGCAATAGGGTTGGAGATCAGTTGGGGGAGTGCTTGCTCTTGTGTACTCGTGAGCACCCCTTAAACTAGGTGGGATGGTGCATGTCTAGGAAGATAGAGGCAGAAAGACAAGAACATTTTCAAAGTCATCTTCAGCAGCACAGCAAGTTCAAGGCTAGCTATGGGTACATTAAGCTGTTTCAAAAAAAAAAAAAAAAAAAAAAAAAGATTAGCTGGGTGTGGTTCCTGCCTTTAATTCCAGCACTTGGGAGGCAGAGGCAAGCAGATCTCTGAGTTTTGAGGCCAGCCTAGTCTACAGAGCAAGTTCCAGAACAGGCTCCAAAGCAATACAGAGAAGCACTGTCTTGAAAAAGGCGTAAGTATGTCCATTTCCTCACTATTTTTGCTATCAGATTAGAAAAATCTTTTAATGCATTATTAGGAAGCTCGCCCCACCCCTTATTTTGAACCTTAGTGACCCCTGAGGTAATCTCCAACCCTTAGTAAACCAAGTGATTTACTGAATGAACACTTGTCCTACTTTTGCCAACTGCCTGGTCACACAACTCTTACCACTTTTAATAATGCAGAATCCTTTTATTTTTTTGAAACAGGGTCACACTCTTGCTTTAACTCAGAGATCCACCCTCTTATGTCTCTAGAGTGTTGGAATTAAAGGCACACACTACCATGTCTGTTCCCAATTGTTTTTGTGTGGTCTTTATGTATTAATAAACCTAACTGGGGCTGGAGAAATGGCTCAGCAGTTAAGAGCTCCACAAGCTATCCCCTAAGATTCTATGGTCACTGTTGTCTCTCTTCACCCCCTTCACATCAGTTATTTACATAACCATGTATGTACATGTATGTAAAAACCATTACCATTCTGTTCTAATCATTCAATGGTTTGCTACTGAAATACAAATTCTGACTCTTTAGCATAATTCTTCAGCATACTTTATATCACTCTCCTCATCCACTAACCCCTGCCCCAAAACGGGCTTTTCGGTCTAGGATACATGAGAGTTTACTTGTTTTCTCTACCTAAAAATAAACCCTTTTCCCAGAATCTATGGCTTAGATGACTGATAGTCTTCACTACTTGGGTTATGTCATCTTCTGAGAGTATTCCCAAACCCTGACACCCTTCAATTTCAGTGACTTTTTACAATTTCCTTGTTCCACTTTATTCTGGGCACTTTATTTTTGTTCATTCTTTTTATTCTTCTTTTGTTTTCTCTACCGTTTTCTCACAGAAAATGTTCTAGAAGGTAGGGTCCTTGTTATACTGTTCAGCTGTGTGTTCCTAGTGCCTGGGGGCTGTCACATACTAGAGTGCTCAATATTTGTGGAAGGAGGAAGAAAAACAACTGGAGAATTCACTTCCTATCCAAACTTCCAACTACCCGATCCCGGACTCTTGTTTCGTTGAACCGCGCGGCAATTCTAAAGAACGGAAGCATTATCTTCTCTGTCATCTTAGACACATCATTAAACTTTTAAAAATCCTGGTATAATTTAATTTTGGAAAACTGATGGCTGGACCATGCAACACATCAGCGTCATTGCCCCATTTTCCTAGAGGAAGACCCGGAGGCATCGGAAAGAGAAGGGCAGAGCAGCTTACCAACTCATCCGGACTCAGGACTCCGAACTGCACTCGCTTGATGGTGCGCAGCGGGCATGCGCTGTCCCCGGAGGGGGGGCCACCCCCGTGCATGGCGAGGCAGGCGCGCTGCGCAGGCGCAAATCTCGCTACAAAAAGCCTGCGCCACCGCCGCCCAAGTGCTCAGACCCCGTCCGGTCGGCCGCCGGGAAAGATCTCCCGGAGCAGGGAGGGAAAGGCCGGAGGAGGGAAAGGTGGGGGAGGGGAGGGGAGGAGGCGGGGAAACGAAAAGGGCAGGAGGAAAGCCTTTTCTCCCTTTCCGGAGATTTGTCGGCTCCCACGAAAGAAACAAAAGAAGGGAGGAAAGGAGGAGGTTTTGGGAGGGAGGAAGAAGGAAAGGGGTAACGAATAAATAAGTAACCGGGATCCTGAACGGCAGAGGTTACAGCAGTTTCTCTCCCCACTTCCGGGAGCCACCTTCTTCTCCAACCGTCCCGGCCGCGCTCTCGGCGCTTCTGAGGAGAGAACTGGCTGAATGACGCCTTTTATAGACTCGCCCTTGTGTCCCGCCCCTTCCTTTCCCGCCCTCCCTTGCGCTACGGGGCCGCCCGCACCGGCCTGCACGGAGCGCGCGCGCCGGAGTTGTTGACCCTCGGGCTCCGGCTCCGCGGTTGGGTGTTCTTTTGACGTGACAGGAGGAGGAGAATTCTTCTGATCCTGCCGGCAACCCCCACCCGCCCCGCCGATTTCCCGTGCACTCAAGCTTACGGCTTGTAGAATCGAGGATAAAGTCAGGCCACCTTTACTTGGCTTTGGCGTATGGGCTCAGTGTCAGCTGTAGTGTCTCTTTAATATCTCCCCCCACACACCTGGAAAATGGTTTGTTCTACGCATGGGTAACGAAGGCGGGGGCCCGTCGGGTCCTGCGGAGTATGTTCCGGAGAGGGAGGGACGGGCGGGCCCTCGGTCATGAATATTCAGTTTTCCGCTGAATATGCATAAGGCAAACAAGATGGCGAGTCTTAGCAATTGGAAGTTGGTATTTGTCGTGGCGCCTCCCAGTGTGGCGGGGAACTTCCTGTCCTCTTACCGGGACCTACCGGGAGCCCTGGCCTTGGACCTCCAGCCGGAAAGCTGGAGGCCTCTACTGGAAGTAGGATGGCTGATACCCGAGAGCCGCGCAGATCACGCGACCACGACAACCCGAAAAAAGCAGATTAGTGGTGGGGCAGAACACAAAAGTCCCGGGGAATTTGAGGTCAAGGAATGTGAACTTTTAGGAAATCCTCCATCTTTCAGAAATAAGGTGGCGGCTGAGTGTCTCAAGGAAGTCTCCAATAAGAGCGTGTTTCCACTCCCTCCAAAGCAAAGATGACACCAACTACACAGCACAGTGATCCGTGCTTGATGTCAGTGATACGTCACCCCCCACCCCCACCCCCGGACAGGGAGTCCAAAGGAGAAGGAACGCTCCCCTCCCCCAGTGCAGTTGCTGACTGCCTGACAACCTGTATACCGCATCCCCGGTGCTCTTCTCTTTCCTGTTTGTGGGATTATTCGCCATGGTCCAGTACCAGACGTCTCCAGTCCCTTGGATCTGAGACCTCACTGCTAAATTATGCCCTGCTCCCTTGGAGTCAGCCTGGATTCCATGCCCTGGCTTCCCGTACTGGCTTCAGGTCCTTCCCTCTCCAAGTCCCGAGACAGAATCCCAGGCATCCCTCTCGTTTGTTTTTACATTTTTATTTTGTGAGTGAGCACACCACAGGGCACATGTAGAAAGGATAATTTGTAGAAGTACCACGTGCGAGGAAGCTTAGGTTGTCAGGCTCCATAGAACTAGCCTTCACCTGCTGAGCCATCTCGCCAGCCCTCTATACCAGTTACTTCTGAGGCCTTTGTTCTTCCATGGTTTTTATTCCAGTCTCTCCTATTTACCCCTGTCCCACCCTCCCCCAGGCTCTCAAGTTTGATTTCACTCTTCCACTTGCCCTTCCTTCTCACAGCTGAGGTTCTGGGCCGTGATGATGGCAATGCTGCCCAGCACAACCCCTGCTCCCATGATGTCAGAAGGTGCCACGGTCTCATAGAGCACATAATACTGCAACATCAGTGCTACCACCACCTCAGAGTGCAGGACAGCACATACCAGGGCAGGGTGGGCCTTGGTGACTGCGTAGCTCACACACACAAAGGAAACCAATGCAAGGAGTCCTACTGCCACCACACAGCTCCAACTCAGAGGGTCTCGGGGTACCACAGGTGTCTGCAGCATAAAGAGGCCTGGGACAGAGACCGTTAGTCCCACCAGGCCAAATAGGAAAGCCACTGTTGGTAAGCAGGAGGGGAAGTGTAGAGAGCGGTAAACCTGTAGCCCCAGTGACAGTGCCAGACCTCCCAGGAAAGCCAGTACATAGCCCAAGGCTGTGTAGAGACCTGTAGTCCCCTCTTGCAATGTCCCTAGTCCAGGTCCCACAATGATGATTAGTCCAAGGGTGCTGCCAAACAGGCCACACCAGGCATAGCCACTGAGACCCTGGCTCTCGAGGCAGAGTGCAAGGAGGGCGGAGCACACGGTAGAAGAACCTTTGCGAACAGTGACTGCATTGCCTGCAGGCACCACCTGAACCGCACTGTAGGCACATCCAATGCTGAGGACATTGAGTATGGCATGAAGGAAGGCCCGAACCCGAACATCAGGAGGTCCCAGCAGCGGATCACCACGAAATTTAAGTAACAAGGCAATGGGGAGGTGGAAGAGGCATCGAAAGATGAGCAGCTCCAAGGAGGGCAGGTGGGAGGTCTGGTAAGCCATACGGGAGAATGGGCCCACAAAGCCAGCAGACAGGCCTCCACCTAGCAGGGCCACAAACAGGCCCTTGGTGGCATCGGAGGGCCCACAGCGATGGTGATGGTTCGAGGGGAGGCTGGCTGGAGTGGAGGGTGGCGATGGCTGGGTGAAGTCAGGTAAGTTGAAATAGGGATGACTGGCATCCTGTTAGGAAGAAAGGAGCTTTTACTTGAGGGCAACCACAGCCTGGGCTATGGGGTAGGGCTAGTGCCAGGCTGAGATCTTAGATCCTTTAGGATAGTAGAGGAACTCATAGGAACTAGAAAGGCCCTCAAGATGGGGCTTGAGCTCTAAAGCAGGAAGCAGGGAGTGAACAGTGTCTGGGAACATCATATTCCTAAGATGAATAAAAGAAGACCCAGGGATACTCTGTTCATTTAAGGAAAGGGAGTTAGCTTCCAATGCTATGTATCCGTATGATGTTACAGGCTCCAGGGACTTCTGGGTACATCATTATGAATATCAGTTATGTCTTCAGGACCACTGGCAAGTTTACAGGAGGAGGGAAAGGAGAATATCCAGATGCTGAATGTTGTCCCCCTCCATTCCCCTTTGCCCCGGTACTCACCATCTCTTCTTGGACTTCCTCCTCTCCTCCTGGGTCCTGTTGCCTGATCCCCTTCAGAGCTCCAGCCATTGTGACTTGGTTGGAGTGAGGGTTAGGTTCTTCCCTGGAACCTTCCTGAGGGGGGAGGGACTATTTTCTCATAAATTCCAACTCTGCTTTGTTGTTGTTGTTGATTTGGGGGTTTTTTGTTTTTGTTTTTGTTTGGAATGAGTTTTGAGGGTGAGAGGGAAAAGAGAGGGGCTCTTCCTATAGGCAAGGCTATTCTGGAATTCACTATGTTGTCCAGGCTGATTGTAGGTGTCTACTACCATTCCAGGCTTATTTTCTATCTTTGTTGCTATGACTCCTATTTCATTCTCATTTTCTCTTTCCTTTTCTTTCTCCCTCCCTCTCTCTCTCTAACTCTGTAATAGAACTGCTTTTGGTTTATGTTTTGCCTCATTTTATAATGGTTTTTGGTTTCTGTATATGTGTGCATTCATATTCATACGAATATGAAAGCCAGAGGGTAAGATTAGGTATTTTTCTTTAGGTTCTGTCCATCTTTTCAATTTTCTTTTGTTTAAAACAAGGTCTTCACCAGGCAGTGGTGGTGCACACATTTAACCCCAGCGCTCCAGAGGCGGAGGCAGAGGCAAGTGGATCTCTGTGAGTTCAAGGCCAGCCTAGTCTACAAAGCTATACAGAGAAACCCTGTCTTGAAAAACAAAAACAAACAAAAAACAGGGTCTTCACTGATGAAAACTTGCCTAGTAGATTAGGCTGGCTGGACAGAGAACCCCAGGGATCCACATACCTCCATCTCTCCCACTTTGTGATGACAAGCATGCTATGCTCCTTCTTGACTTCCTTCCTCCCCCCCCCCCGTCCTTTTCTGGGTGTATGTGTGTGTGCCATACATGTGAGTGTGGGCATGTGAAGGTCAAAGGATAGCTCAGGTGTCCGTACTTACCTTCTAGCTTGTCTGAGCCTGAGTCTTGCTGTGTGCGTCCACAAATGTCAGAGTAACGTGGCCTGAAAGCTCCGGAGAATTTATCTCTGGTTTTATGTGGTGCTTAAAGATCTAAACTGAGCTTGTTTTGTTTTGTTTTGAGACAGGGTTTCTCTGTGTAACAGTCCTGGCTGTCCTGGAACTCACTTTGTAGACCAGGCTGGCCTCTGCCTCTGCCTCCCAGTGCTGGGATTAAAGGCCTACATTGCTGAGGCCTGGCTTCCCCAGCTTTTTTACTTGAGTCCTGGGCCTCCACCCAGGTCGTCATGTTTTTTTTTTGACAGCACTTTGCCAAGCAAGCTATCTCCCCAGCTCTTCGTTTCTTTATTCTTATTTTTTAACTTTATTTTGTGTATGTGGGAATTTTGCCTGCATGTATGTCTGTGCACCACTCTTGAGTGCCTGCTGTCCTTGGAGGTCAGAAGATGTGTGTAAACTGCCATGTGTGTGAGTTCTGAGAGCTGGGCCTGGACGAGCAGCTAGTGCTCTTAACGCACTGAACCACTGGACCATCTTTAGAGTCTGTTGTTGTTGTTGTTTAATTTTAGTGTGTGCACAGGTATGACCCACACATTAAATCCTAGCATTTGAGAGGCAGAAGAAGATCTCTGAGTTTCAGGCCAAACGGATCCACATAGACCACATAGTGAATTCCAGGCACCAGCCAGGGCTATACAGTGAGACCCTGCCAAAAAAAAAAAAAAAAAAAAAAAAAAAAAAAAGTGTGTGTGCAAGTGAGTGAAGTATACAACCTGAACCATCTCCCAGTCCCAAGATTGATTTTATTTTATTTTCAACCATGTGTATGTGGTGCATCAGTGTAACACTATGTGCAGGTGTCTGCAGAAGCCAGAGATATCCTATCCCCTGCAGCTGGAGTTAAAGGTGATTGTGAATGACCTGACTAGGATGTTGGGAACCGAACTTTTGGATCATCTTCAAAAGCACTACTCTTTCAGCCACTGGGCAGTTTTCCCTAGCCCTCACTCAGTTCTTGTTTTCCTGATATGAGGTCTTGCCCAAGCTGGTCTCAAATCCACTATGTACCCTGTTCTGTTGCTGCTGTAGTTTAGAAAAAGGGTTGCTGTATAGCTGGTATAGGTCTGAGTGGCTTGGAACTTGCTAGGAAACCTTGAACTTGCAGTGATCTTCCTGCCTTTGCTGCCCTAGTACCTGTACTGTAGGCTTGAGGCACCATGCTCCACAGGGAAAGTTTTGAGAGTTTGCTCCTGTGTCTCCTGATGTGGTTTTTTGTTGGGGTGATGGGTTTTTGTTTGGTTTTGTATTTTTGAGACAGGGGTCTCACTATGTAGCCCTGGCTGACCTGGAACTTGTTGCTTAGACCAGGCTGGCCTCCAACTCACAAAGATCCATCTGCCTCCCCAGCAGCATCAAACCAGACCTCTCCAGGGTTTTAAGCAACACCAGGGAGGAGTCTGTAGTACTGTCCCATTGACCGTTCAGGAATATTCTTATGTATGTTACATTTCCTATGCTTCTTATGTTTCTTATGCTTATGGTGTGTAGCTAGTACAGGAGGTCCACACACTAAGGCCTGTTTATATGCAAGGACACAGAAGCAGGTATTTCCACTGGTTAAGACCAATTCCAAGATCGTTCATGTAAGGCCCCCATTCGGCCAGGTTGGGGCCTTCCTTGCCTGTGGGTCTGGTGAAAGTCGGTAGGCATTCCCGAAAGGGGGTGCCCCAGGACTTTTGCCTTATGAGGATGCTGACTCTGGGTCTATAGGTTCCACTGGGCCCAACTGTGAGTCTACCATGTATGTCTGCGGCCCCGGAGAATGTGTATGGCGTGCGTGTCTGTGGTGAGCAAATGTGCACACGCAGCATGCTCTAGGCGATGTATACCCCTTAGTGAAGAGTGTACAGAGGGAAGGGCAGGCGTGGGGGGGAGTCCTTTCCCAGGGAGTGAGTGGTCTAGAGCAGTACAGCCTGGCCACCATCCCTCAAGGTGTCCACCCTGCGTCCTTCGTCGTTTGTTTCCCTGTATGGGATCCACCGGGCCAAGGCCATCGGACGTCAGAACCCAGTGTTGGTGTCTGCTGCGCTGCGCTGGCTTCCTCTCGGCAGCAGCAGTGGCGCTGGGGGGGGACTGTTTCCGGGGGTGGGGGGGAGGACCGGGGCGGGGGGAGCCGATGATGTCAGTGGCGGCGGCGGCGGCGGCGGGGCTGGGCCGGGGCCGGGCGCTGGGGGGGGCCGGGGCAGGAGCTGGAGCCGGAGCTGGAGGAGGGCGAAACCCGAGTGGCCGGGGGCGGCCACGGTGATGAGCCCGGCCTGGCGGACGCCGCGCCATCGCAGTCAGGTTGGCCCCGGGGCGAACCGGGCAGGGTTAGGGCGGACGGGAGCCAACTACCTTGGCCCCCTCTTTCCGCTGCCCGGCCCCGCGGGGACCCGGGACGCGCCCCGCGACCGCTCCCCTTCCAGGTTGATCTAGGGGCGCAAGGGTTGGGGGCTGGAATAGGCCCCGCCCCCGGGCGCGCACGGCGCTGGGGAGCGACTTAAGGGCGCCCTGGTATGGCGTCCAGAGAGTCACGGAGAGGGGACTTTGTCTCCTGGGGTCGTAGAGAGGGTCGCAATCACTCCACCTAAGAAGGGTTAAATTCTGCAGCCAAATGTCCCCCTCCCTCTGTGGGGCAGATTGGGGGTGGGGTAGGGCGGGTGTGATCCCGGGCAAGCGTTGAAAGCTGCTGGGATAGCGATGGCGTAGGAGCCAAGCAGAGAGGGGGGAGGGGTGGCCCTCTGGGCGCCCCAGAGTTGGGGTGTGCAGGGTGCGCAGTGTAAGCAAGGGCCCGGAACCGCCGCACCGTCGGGGCAGGGTTGTTGGTGTGAGTCTTGGAGATTGTGCCTCCTAAGGTGCTGTGGGGCAAGGTAAACTGCTCTTGGGCACCACTGTTTGCTAGTCTGACACCGAGGGGTCTGCTAGAGCCCTCCCTGTTACATAGAGATAGAAAGGCAGGAGGGGTACTCTTTGGTACAGAATTACAAGATATGGCCTTGTCGCTTTAGGTGACAGATACCTTGTGTGTGGTGTCTGGGATTGTATGTGTAGTTTTGCCAGCATGTGTTTTCTTATAGGTATGTCTTGTGTTGCACACATGACTGTTTATGAATGTTTGTTTATTGTATAACTGGTGTGTGTGTGTGTGTGTGTGTGTGTGTGTGTGTGTGTGTGTTATAGCGGGCACCAGAATGTGCAGGGAGTATGTACCCATTTGAAGAGTGCAGTTGTGGACCTTTGAATCAGAATGTATCATGCCTGAGTTCCATTTCTGTAGTCCTGATGAGGTGTGGTCCAGTTGTGTAGAGGATAGAGGGTAGATGGATTTGTATGTTTGTGATGGGCAAGTTTCATGGGGGCTGCTTGTCTGGAACTCAGATCTACTGATTAGCAGGAGCGTGAGAAACTGAAGCTTGTGGATCAACTGGCGCGGGTGTGAGGGGCTCTGGGCAGGACGTGCAAGATGTGTTTATGGGAACATGGGCGGCCAAGCAAAGGACGGTTGCGTGTTTGCAACATTCTCCACGGGATTCTTTTGTGACGTTGTTTGTGGGAGCCTGTCTGGGCTGTTGGGCAGGGAGTCTAGCTGGTCAGAAAACACTTGGGAGGAGGTGGCGTGACAAGGGCAGTGTGGGCCTCAGACCCAGGAGACCAGTGGAAAGCTTTGTGTGCTTGCCTGCCTTCTGTGTGCTTACATGACGGTGGAGGGCTGCCCAGGAGATGTTATGGCAAGGTTAGGAGATAGATATTAGCCAGAGCAAGCGCAGCGGCCATGAGTGTTGCCTGGTGGCACTGCTCCTTTTGCAGGGTCCCTGTGTTTGCCCCTCACCAGGCATGTCAGGGCCGCAGAGTCCTGGTGCCTACAAGGGAAGTGAGTTTAGACAGAGTGGCCATGTTTATGCAAAGGCCGGGTGTGACTTTTGTCACTAAAATGGAAAAAAGGATCGTGAAGTTTTTAGTCTCCTCCTGCTGCTTTGCCCTCTCTCTTTCTCTGCCCCCCTTTTGAGTATCTCTGACGCACATGGGGCCCTACTCCTGTGACAGTAGAAGGGCTTTGGACAGAATTTGCTCACTAAGCAGATTCTTTGGAACAGGTTTCCTTCACCTCTGGGCCCTTCTGTATAGGTGGGACAGGTGTAAGGCGGGAGTGCTACATGGAACTGGAGTTTTCTGGTACCTCTACATTGTCCTCATTGGGGCATTAGGAGTGTCCTACTCCACATCTGTAAGATGGGTCTGC